TTGAGAGATGCACAAATCAATAGTAAATTTCAAAATTTGTACTAAAAATCAGTTCGGATGAAAAACAATTACTTGAAGAAAACAAAGAGTTTTTGGGAGAGAGAGAAATGTGCGGAAAAATGGTCCATTGGTAGCCATTGAAGTAGGTGAGGAGTGTTGCTGCGTACAAACAGGCAAGAATGAAAGTGAGAAGATACTTTTGTGTGTGTATGTGTGTGTATGTGTGTGTGTGTATACACACACATGTACAAGTTTACATGAGAAACGAGATGGGTATTGCTGGTGAGTATGTGTTTGATAAGTTGATTGTTGTTGTTGTGTTAACTTTCAAAAAACAAATAAATAAATAAAAAATAAAGTTTACATGAGAGAGAGAGAACAGATAGAGCGCAATACTCCTTATTTTTCCATCAACCCTAATTCCTTAACATGAAAAGGTTTATATACAAAGACAAGAAAGACATATTTGTATAATAACCACAAACTCTTTATACAATTACAATCTGACCCCAACATAAATATATATCTACATATAAATGTGCTACATACAATTACAATCTTATAATCTGGCCCCAACTTTTGTATATATTAAAATTGAGTATGTATGTGTGTATATATATATATATATTATAATCAAGTATATTCATGAACGCATTATCAAGCCCAGTTCATGAATAGTTCATGAACAAATGAGTCGAGTATACTAATGTTGAGACTCGGCTCATTTATAAATCAAGTCTCATAATTCGGCTCGAGTTCGATTCACTTATTAACTAGCAGAGCCCGAGCCATTCGCGAATGGCTTGGCTTGTTTGCAGCCTTACCTGGACGGGGCATATGGATATCTTGGAATACAGAAGCATGAGTTTGCTGGTTGACCGCCGCTGCCGAGGATGGGGCTAATGGCGCCATCCCCGGCAGTGAGTCCGATAAACTGATAGATTGTTTACCAGAAATCGAAAGGTTCTGATACTAAGTTAGAAATAAAGAGAGAGAGATAGAGAAATTGTATATTGTATTGATGTATAATAATATTATAATACATAGGGGTTTATATAAGAGACGACATGTGTGGAGAATAAATAAACCTAAACCCTATATGGTAAATGTTAGCCCCTTGACGGTTGTCCAAGGGAAGACATGGGCATTTCAAGGCTATGCCATGTCTTGGGAATACTTTGGCTTTGGTTAGACAGCCATGAGGATGCTCAGTGGGTTGTCAGCGTGCACAAGATGCTTAAAAGGATGCTCGGCGTGCACTGGGGGTGCCCAGTGGCACTGTCGTAAATATGGCGAAAAATGAAACTTAGAGTTTTGACTCGGGATCTTTATGGGAGGTACCTTGAGTCCATAGAAGCTGGTTGGCATAGACGGCACTTAATTTGGATGTCGGGAAAGGCCTGAAAGGCCATTATGACTCCTCAAGCATGGGTGATGTCTACTCCTGTCAGAGTGCTGGATTTCCTTAAGACTATACTAGGGAGGGGTCTGTTGAGCACATCGGTTGGGCCATGGCATGGCTTGCTTAGAGGGCTTAGCCAACGTGCATGGGCACGTGTTGCACCACTCCAAGATGGTTGCACAAGTGGGGAGCATCCAAGATATTGAAGGGCAAACAAGTGGGCACTAACACACGCGCTGGTGTGCAGCGGCGCGCGTGCGGGCGTGTAGGTGGGCGCGCGGGCAGGCATCCAACCTAGTGTGCGCGAGCGTCTAGCTCGGCGTGCGCATGGGCGTCTAGGCGGGCGTACAGCCACGGGCGCATGAGGGTTCAAACATGGCGCGCGTAGAAGGGCACTAGTGTGTGCGCCAGCGTGCACTTTGGCGTGCACCCGAGCGTGCGCACGAGCGTGCATGGCTTGGCACGCCGTGCACTCAGAGACATATATATGTGGGTGTAGATTGGTGGACTTGGCTTGGGTTAGGTTCACAAGGTTGACTCAGATGTGGCTAGAGCATGGACAACACAAAGTCATGGCTTGCGGTTACAAGAGGTGGTGGCTTAGTGGGCTCGGTCGGTTGGGGGAAGTTACTAGCACTTCCCACTCATCATGGGAAGTGGGGGAGTGCTGAGTAACCTCCCAAGCATGTGGCACAATTCTGAGAGGACCAACACACAGGCGGTTAAGGGTGGTTTCTTCCACTATGCAGAATGTAACTTCTTGTGGTTATGTGGCATGAGCAGAACATGCCAATAAGTCTAGCAGTTGGGCTTGTCAACTGCATTATAGTGCTGGCACATCCAGAGGGTGCCAGCACGACCCTAGGTGGATGGGGGTGTCATCCATCATCTTAGTGGGCAGTTATGGGCGGTTTTAAGAGTGGCTTATATAATGCTAAGGTGGGCTTTGTAGAGGGAACAGAGAGGAGGGTGTGAGCCTTGGTTGTTCCTTGTACGAACTCATGTTCCTTTGTAATATGTTTAATATGAGCAAAGGTTGGGGCTTGTCCCTGTAAACTGTGTGTGCCTTCTTTACATTTCTATACTGTGTGTATTGTGTTGTTGTGTTGGCTGAGACTTGGTGGCCCCAAGTGCCATTACAGAGGCAAAAATTCGTGGCGTAATTTAGCCCTGTAACAGTAAACCTATACATGATAATAATATATTCTAATAATAAATTGTAACAATATATTCTAAGAATGAGAATTTTCATCACTAACATGTGTGCTTGATTACACGTATAAAATGTGAACAATCGAATGCAGTATAAACACTATGTCATATCCCATCTCCTCCTGTATACTAGCACACCGAAAGGATCACTCTCCCTTGCAAAGATTCTGTCATGGATTAAAATAATAGTTGTTTTTGCACCTTGAAATAAAGTTTGTGGTTGAGTCGTGGGGGCAATTGCTCCCCCTCAACTTTTGTTATTTTGTAATTTTTATTATATTGATTTTTTTTTTAGTTTAAAAATGAGCCAATATAGAAAAAGTGAAGGAATATAGAAAAAATGGTCTATTGCACCAATGGACGAAATTCAATGATACCGAGGAGTTCAATTTTTTTAGTGGATAATTTGTAAAATGTGAGTAGGATTATATATCTATTCAAACAATAAAATGAAAGAACCAGTGAGTCAATAATAATCCATTATGTTTCTTTTTTTAAAAGTTAAACAGGACTTTAGTTTTTTTTTTTTTTTTTTTTTTTTTTTTTTTTTTTTTTTTGCACAATAAAAGACTTATTTCCTTTCTTGTTCTCTCACGGTTTTCATGAAACAAATTTTGTTGAGAAAGACATTGTACAAAATTGAATAAACAAAGTTTTGAAAAATATTATGTTATTGATAAAATAATCGTAAAACTGTTGAAACCTATACCTATATTGTAAAGTATACAACCTTAAAACATAGCCTACTCCAAACAAATTCTAAAATGCTTTTTAAAAAGATAAAACATAAAATTTGTGGTAAGTTCTTAATTACTAATCTAAAATAGCCACAGTTAGAATTTGTGAATGAAAATTGTTTGATTAGTTATCAATAGAATACATGAAAGACATATACAGTTGATACGCCTAGTGTGAATGGTCCATCCATTCTTTAACACGTTTTGAAAAATATAGTTGTTGTCATAAGTTTAAGATGGTGATTATCTACGTTTAGGTTGTACCTTCACCATATTAATGTGTTGGATTGAACAAGTGTGATCATTCATTATTTATGGGATGAAAATATGCAACTCAAAACCAACAAACATAACATATTCAATGTGAACCATTGCAACTTGTTAGAGTGGGTATGTCTGATGATGAATACATATAAATGATTGTGTTCAGTGATGATGAGACGTACTCAATCCGAAAAGGCACTTCTATGTTTATAAATACTCCCTTAAACTACCATAATTCAGTGATTCAATTCATTTTCTTCTCTCCCTCTCTAAACTTGAACCCAACCCAAGTGGATTCAAACCATAGGTCAAGTGGTCTGAGTCACTTAGACCTTAATCTAAGTTCACCAAGTCATATTAAAATTGGTCCGAACCATTTCTCAGCATTTATATAGTATAAAAGCATTTTTGAGTCAGAGAGATTATTACACAAAAAAGGTTCACTGTATCCACGAGTTTGAATTGCTGCTACTGGTGGATGTACACCGTTATATCATGGGAGACAAGCGCCATAGAGTCTATCAACACCATGCGGAACGTAAATTTTCTTAAGAATATAATATCCAATACTAGCCTTGATCCAATTATTATTTTATTGGTCTAATTTGCATGTTTAATTAAATATTTAATTAATTATTTTAATTATGATATATTAATATAAGATTTATTATATCTTAAATGTCACATTAAACATATATACTTTTAATAGATGTATCTCAATCGTAACCATTCCAACCTCAAGCAAAGATTATAAAAAAATTAGACTTCTATAGCGCTGAAAATAAGGCAAAAAAAAAGGCCCTAAAAGATGAAATTTTTCCAAAAAATGATTTTAAGTCCCTACGTAATTCTTTTTTTCGGCACATGTTTCCAATCGGAATGAGTCCTTTAGAGCCAAATCAGACTGAAAACGTATCAATGACATTTGGTGGTCAGAAGCATAGTTAGTAAAATACGGTACGGAAAAAATATGGATACGGAAACGTACGAGTATAATTCGATATTTTTCAAAAAAATACGTTTAAAAAATTCGGCACAAAAATACAGAAACGTAAAAATACGAATACGGATACGTACGTATATAATACGTTATATACACTAGAAATTCGGGATAAAAAATTCGGCTATACACATCTTATTATTTTCTTATATATCATATATTTGTAAGGAAAATAAATAATATGTAATAAATAATAAAATAAATATATTACAATTGACACTATCACAATAATCATTAAAAAAATAATAATAAACTATCTAAATATAATGAAACAATAACCATATGTCCATAACATGATCAATTTCATCACAAAATTAATGAAAAAAATTTTAATTCAAATAATCAACTATGTTACCCAGAATAAAAATAAAAAATTGTTCTAAATTTAGATAACACCATCTAACCAAGAAAGATCTTCATTATTGGTGACTAAATCACTAGAAACGTCATCTGTTGGCTCTAAGGAATAATCCTCCAATTCTTCATGATCAACATATTCAAGATTGTCACTAAGTTTGTCAAGATTAATTGGCTCCAAATCTTGTGCTTCGAGTGTCTTGAATTTTTCCATCATCATTGTGTTCATTCTTACGTATACAAGATTGTCCAACATTGTAGGTGCCAACCTATTCCTTTTCTTTGTTTGTGCAGCTTCCCAAGCACTCCAATTTCTCTCACATGAAGAAGAACTGCAAGGCTGACTCAATATACGAATGGCATACTTTTGTAGCAGAGGAAGATAATCTCCACAATAATCCCACCAAACTCCTACACATAATAAAAAATAATAATAATAATAATAAAACTAAATATATAAAGCTTATTATAATTTTAGCAAGATATTTTAAAAAATAAAAATAAAAACTTACGAGGATGAGATGTTTTCAACATTGTCTTTGTTGTATTTGTGAATAAAGTTATGGTCTTCATACGGTAAAATTGCAGTTCTCGAATAAAATCTTCCTTTTCTTCTTCAATAATAAAATTTCCTAACATAAAATCTATACCGTCTTTCATTTCACGATTTTCTCTGAAGTCCTCGCTACACATGAAGGCATGATTTAAAAATGCAGCAGCTGCATGTATTGGGTGGATTACATTTTCAATTCTCCGTTTTTCAAATAACACCCATATCTGCATGTAATTAGCTTGATTAATACAATAACGTTGTTTAATAGTTTCTTTTGCCCTTTCCATCGCCTCATACAAATATCCTGCAGTTGAACCATCTCCATCAACCAAACGAAGAACTCTAACTAAAAGCTCCAGAGTTTGTATTACTTCTTTCCCTTTACTCCAAAACTCAACACTTTGAATAATACTAGCAACCTTTAGTCCCATCCCTCTTTTGTTGTAATCCAACCCCCTCTATTCAGAAGATGCCACAAGTAATCGCAATCCATCTTCAACTTCTAAAATTGATTGAACCATCAAAAAATTGGAGGCAAATCTAGTCGCACAAGGATGTTTGAGTTCTTTATGATTTGTGTGTTCTCTCATTAATGACAAAATAATAGTGTGCTTGTACAAATATGTCACAATTAATTTTGCATCATCAATAATATCATGTATCCACAAAACTTCAGAATAAATATCTTTCAATAGTAGCTGAATCCCATGAGCAGCACATCATGTTTTATACATACGAGGGTACTTACCAATAAGCATGTCACCAGCTGATTCAAAATTTGATGCATTATCAGTAATGAACTGCACAACGTGATTAGGTCCAATAGCTTCAATTACTGATGACATAATATCTTTTAGATAAACACCTGTTTTTTTATCCTTTGAAATTTCAAATGAATTCATAAATACTGCCCTACCAGGTGAATATGCAATTATGTTGATAAAGGCACGTTGCTTCATATCACTCCATATATCTGACATTAGTGTGCAACCTGTAACAACCCAAGTTTTCTTCACATTCCCAATGTATGCCTCTACTTCTGTCCTAAAATCTGGTATTAGCTTTGTGCGTAAAGTTGAGTAACTATGTATGTTGACTCAAATTCAGCAACACTTTTTACGAAATCAATAAAAGATTGAGTCTGAACCACATTAAATGAAATATTATTCAAAATAATGTGCTTGGCAAGTTTTTTATCCACCTCACTCTTATCCATCTTCTTAATTGTTTCTGGCATGGTAGATTGTTGTAAGCCTTTTGAAGATAAAGAGGAAAAACTAACAGACCCACCTTCCTCAACATCAATTAGAGTAACTATAGTTTTAATTTTTTTGTTCGGACCACCAATTGCTAAAATTGCAGCTGCTTGAACCTCTTGAGGTACTTTTGAACAAATTTCAATGTCTCTACCTTTTACCCCAGATAAGTGTGATTTGACTCTTGAAATACCTCCAGGATAGTTTAAGTTACAATACTTACACATGAAACGACCTTGTAATTGTTCAACGTGATCCCAAAATGCATCCCTCTTTTTTTCCATCTTTCCTTAATAGCCTATATATGTATAATAAATTCATAAGTATATAATGTGATACTCTACTAAAACATCTAGGGAGTGTGGTGATTTACAAACTTCTAAAATAATAACAATAAAGATACAAACAAAATTTAAAAGATCTCACAACAAAATAAAAAATTTATAAATATCTACAAACATCAATAAAAACTTATAATTCTTCAAGATTATAGTATTCCACAAGTGTGTGTGTGTATATATATATATATATTTCATTATTTTGATTAAAGATCATACAATGGAGTGACAACAATAAGAGATTAAAAAAAAGAAAAAAAAAAAAAAAAGAAAGTGATACCTTGAATATAGAACAACTGAGTGAGAGAATGGTCACAACCTTTCCCAAGATTGCACAACAAATAATATTATTTTGATAGCGCGAAAGATAATGGTTATAGAAGCAAAAAAGGGTAGAAAAAACGGTAATTTGTATTTCAGAAAAATAGGTTATTAGAAACGTGAAGTTTGTGAACGAAAAGAAAATAAAATAATTAGGTTACGAATTAAACGGAGCGACTAAAACGAATAAACGCGTTAGATACAGGGTAATGGAAAAAAAAAACGCGTATTTTACCGTATCTTTCAACTCTAATCGGCAAATGGAAGTATTTTTCCAAAATTCGTACGTACGCATTTAATTCGCGTATCATACGCGAATTAACTAACTAGGGTCAGAAGTACAAATTGGTTCGAGATCAAATATAAAGGGCGCCCGTCCCATTAGATGGAGTATTTAGGAGACATGTTCCTGATCGCGAACTACAGTATTTCTTTGTTCGACTGGCCGACACCATATTCGTATGGTGGTGCAATCTAAACATTTTCGCAAGGGGCGACTCCCTCCAATTCTATAGTGATATACTAGTCGGTCACCCCTCCATGTTTTGTAATTAGGGATGGTAATTCCCCCCGACGTGACAGGTTTCCTGCAAGCATTAAAGGCGAATTTGATAGTCCCCTAAATGGGTTTGGGGTGGGTATGATAAATAATTAAAAAATCAAAGCAGGTTTGGGGTGGAGGCGGATTTAGAGATAAACTCGCCCCGACTCCAACCCGATTATACATGTACATTTAAAATTTATATATATATTTAATATTTTTAGGACCCATGTTACTAAGTGTCAATTAATATGTTAATATTTACTATGTAATGATTTAAAAGCTGAACCAACTTATTTTATCAGCCCAATTTGACTACATTGGGCTAGTTTTTTTTTTACTAAATATTGAAAGTATCATAATCCACCCCAGCCCACAATTAAACGAATTTTGCAGGGCGGAGTCAGTGCTTTGTCAGCTGGAGTAAGGGCGGAGATAGTATATTAATTACAAACCCGCTTCGGAGTAGGGCTGTAGCTGATATGGCGAATTTTCTAACGGGCGTAGTAGAGTTTAGTCAACGCCGCCCCGTTACCATCCCTATTCCCTATTCGAAATCCCACTTTCCTCCCGACTTTTTTACAATTTTATCTATGAAATGTTTGCGTCATTTTAGGTATTAAAAGGACATAGTCTGGCAAGGAATAATCTGTTGCATAAAGTGAAATTTACCCTTTAGTTTTTAGCTATATAACATTTTTCTTTTCCTGGTAATTAGTTCTCACACAAACTCATTCATCCCGTTGGAAACTTGAGCCATCAACCTCCCATATATCTGAAAAGAGGATATGCTACTTCGATTCTTTGTGACGTTTTAGCTATATCAATATCATCTTCAATACAATTTCTTCCAAACAAAAATTCACTTGTAACTACTTCCATCGATCCCAACTTAATTTACTAGCTAAAAACCATTTTATAGAGAAATGGGAAGCAACATAAAATATACTATGGCATTCAGTTTCAAAAATCTATTTTCAATACTCTAATTACCTAAAGAGTCAAACAAATATCAAATTGTATTCTATAGATTGAGATTTCACTAGTACTCTATCCCATTTTGTTCCAAAGTTCTTCCCGGATTAATGACTTTTGTGAGTCCTGATCTCATGAAACTTGAATCCCTTGTCATGGAAGAGCCTATTTGTTGGAGAAAGAACTGTTCATGCACCGGGGCTTCAATGTCCGTGGTAGAATTTTTCGCGATGCCACACAGTCCCGGTTTGATGAAATCTAAAGTTTTTGTTGAACTTGAAGAGGTCAAGGAGGTTGAGCAAGGGATTGAACCAGGCTTTACACATTGGTTTGTGCTCAACGACAACTCAGCCTGAAAGGGGTGGTGGTGGTGGTTGTGCTCTCCTACATATGTGGCTACTAAAACAGATTGATCTTCAGCACTTCTTTGTACCTAAAATTATAACAAAGCAAATAAAATACACAATATACTTCTTAGAAAAACTACAAGTTTTTTACTGTATGTTTTTTCCTTTTTGAAGAAAAAGGAAAGGTCGATTAAAGAGGTGTTGTAGGATTTGGCTCACCTTCTTTTTGACTGGGCAGCTTGGGGCAAAAGAGCACTTATAGTAAGCTCTAGGAGACGAGTTATCTCTAGTAACTTTTTGGCCATATTTTCTCCATCTATGTCCATCCTTTACTGTCTGTAATACAAATTAACCAAAGAAACAAATAGGGTTCTTAGTACAGTACTTGGAAAGGCTAGCTTGTCTACCATTACAACAAATAGAAGCATTTGTGACAGATTGTTTGGAATTTTCGCTGTGTTTTTTATTGTAACAGACCATATAACTTGTAGGGAAAAATCTTTTTTTGTGAGACTTTTTTCCTTGTGTCACAAAAATCTATGATGATTCGAGTTCTATCTGATAGATTAATATAGATTATTGGCATATTAACTAAAATCTATATTAATCTATATTAAATATAGATTAATATAGATTTTTGTGACATAAGGAAAAAAGTCTCACAAAAAAGATTTTTCCCTACAATTTATTTTGTCTGTTACAAATGACTAATGATTTATAACAGTTTATATCCATCTGTCACAAATGACTAGATTTCACGGCATCAAGAAATTGTATATTATCATTTTCCATCCATTAATTTTCTTAAGCACGATTAATTGATGAATGTTTCAGGACTTACTAGGCTTTTAACGGATTCATAATCCGTCTTGACACAAACTCGTGATGTGTTTGTTTTGAAGCTTTCCTTCGGCATCTTACATGAACCTTCTTTAGTACCACAGCTGTTCTCTGCATCTTCATTGTTTGTACAAATATAATAGCCACAATCTTCATCGTCGGCTTTTCTCTTCCCCAATCTAACAAGTTCAGAATCAGACTTGTTGCTTGTCAAATCCATGAAATGGCTTTGCAAAGCATTGTACTTCTCTCGAACGATGGTAAGCATTTCAGTTAACCTTCTGTTCTCAAAGATTACCCTATTCAGCTCTTCAACCAGAAGATTGACCTGGTTGCAAGAATGGGATTTTGGATATTTAGTAGATGAAAGAAAACTTGCATGCTACACGAATTAATGTTAATTCAATACAGTTAGTATATTTACATAACAACACACACACACACACACACATATATATATATAGCATGAACCTTGTCCATTGACTCACCTCTTGTTTCTCTGCTAATTTGCCTTCCAAACCAACAAAATCTCCTTGATCATATTGCGATTTCCGGTTCAGAATTGGAAACAAGTGCTCATGAGTTCCACTCTCTGGAGTTTCATCTATGTGCCTCGAAGGATTAACTGCAGTGAGGTTGATGCTGAGAGATGTGTCTACACAAGTACTATAGTCCATAATGATTCAGCTATATATAAAGCAACTACTAAGCAATTTTAGGATGAAATACTTGAAAATTTACTCGCAAAAGTTTGCAGAATTCTCAAGTGCTACCGAATGAAAGAACAAAGATTGGTGATATATATATGTGTTTGTTTCTGTGTGTGAGAGAGTCCGGCTCTGTGGTTTAATTGCTTTGGATGGAAAGTCGAGGTCCATTTATTCTGGTCCCTAAAGAAGTCAATGTTGAGATAAAATTAGAGAGAATTGTCATGTTGAAAAGTTAACAATAGATAATTGAGAGTCCTATGAAATTTCAAGATAGGGGCTACAATAATAAATAAAAAATAAAAATAAAATAAAAAATGATATATGGACTAAATAGTGTGAACTTAATAGGTTTTATGAATCAAACATAGACCCCAAAATTATCTTTGTGGACTTGGAGTGGACTTCGGAACTTTGATCACTATGGGAGCATTATTGTGTTAGCTAGTCTTATATAAAAAATGTAAATCATCATTATGTGGTGATTGGCTTTTTCATTTTAGATTTAGATGGACACTTGTAGTGGTTAAACCTTTTTTGAATGCATATTTGATCTTTATTTAAAATAAAATTAACTTGTTGAAAATTATAGGATCATTTAATAAAAATAATCTAAGTTATAGTAAATTAAATTTTTAGGTTGTCAATATATAATATATTATACGAATTGATAAGCTCCTATATCATTCCAAGAACCATTTCTAAATTAAATGTAACAAATGAACTTAATAATGAGTTCAAAATAAAATTAAACTTTATTTGATCATATAATGTATAGATCAAATAAAGTTTAATTTCATTTCGAACTCACACAAAGTCTTTAAATTAGCAATGCATAATTCACAAGAGACATAAATAAATATATAAAACCTAAAATATAATTTTGTCTTCTAGGTCTTCTTGTTCCCAATTTTGTCCACTCTGCCCACGCGGCTTTGAACCGTGTGGCTCTACCAACCAACCTTGCGTTTTTGTCATCCATTTTTCCCTCTTTTTCCATGTCCCCATACGGCAGTGATCGTGATTCCTTGACTTTGTTGACTGTGACTCGAATAATGGCAAAGACCTAGTTTGGTCCAATGCGTGTACAGTTTTGATTGTTTTAATTTCTAAAGAATGTGAAAATGTACAAGGTTTTGGCCTTGTTAGTCTTATACGCGTGTACAGTTTTCGTTGGTCAAAATTCTAAAGCAGTCAAAATGTTTCAAGACTTGGCCTTTCCGATAAGACTTGCCTTGCCTTTTGTGTTGAGTTGGGCTCGAATCTTTCAAGAGATAACATTTATATACTTTACATATTGGAATCATGTATCTGCATCTTTTATATTTTGCAATTGCTTCACAACTTAGAATTGATTTTTTTATTTATAATTTTTCTTTACAAAAAAACATTTTTACACACTCATTTATCACTATAAAGACTTGAACCCTCCACAATTTACTTTAGAGTGAAACTTTTGAGTTAACTTAGAATTAGATTTAATAACGATTCTAAATAACAAAGTTTCTTATTTGAAGATGATAAAATATCACTGGAATACAAGCCTTGGCTTAACTTCGAATTATATTGAGTAACAATTCTAAATAGCAAAATTTCTCATCTCTATTCTAAGAAAACGTATTGATCTCGCAGACCTTTTTGTAAAGATGCAAATTACCTGCATCTAGACAGAAAGATCCTATGAAACTTTATTACTTCCTAAGATTAGCTTTGGGTGAGCCACGTTGGTACTTACCACGTGGACATGACAAGAAAAACTCTTTCACAAAATCAACTTATTTTTTTGTATGTCGTTTTGACCTGGTTCTTAGCTAGTCTTTGTTGTACCCCAATATATATCGCACCCAATTTTTGACTCGCACTATTTTGAGGGTTACTTTAAAAAAAAACTCATGTTTGAAAAGGAACAATACAAATTGAAACGTTAATAAGGGTCTTGTATCCTAGTGGTATATCATCTACTTCCCAAAATGGATGGTAAGAATTTGAGCTTTCAAATGAAAAAAGTGGTATGTGAGCTTTTTGCCGATAACAAAATATATATATATATATATATAAAAATAAAAAATTAAAATTAAAACGTTGACTTAATGCGACAAAAATAATTTATTTTTACACACTCATTTATCACTATAAAGACTTGAACCCTCCACAATTTACTTTAGAGTGAAACTTTTGAGTTAACTTAGAAATAGATTTAATAACGATTCTAAATAACAAAGTTTCTTATTTGAAGATGATAAAATATCAGTGGAATACAAGCCTTGGCTTAACTTCGAATTATATTGAGTAACAATTCTAAATAGCAAAATTTCTCATCTCTATTCTAAGAAAACGTATTGATCTCGTAGACCTTTTTGTAAAGATGCAGATTACCTGCATCTAGACAGAAAGATCCTATGAAACTTTATTACTTCCTAAGATTAGCTCTGGGTGGGCCACGTTGGTACTTACCACGTGGACATGACAAGAAAAACTCTTTCACAAATCAACTTATTTTTTTGTGTGTCGTTTTGACCTGGTTCTTAGCTAGTCTTTATTGTACCCCAATATATATAGCACTCGATTTTTGACTCGCACTATTTTGAGGGTTACTTTTAAAAAAAACTCATGTTTGAAAAGGAAGAATACAAATTGAAACGTTAGTAAGGGTCTTATATCCTAGTAGTATATCATCTACTTCCCAAAATGGATGGTAAGAATTTGAGCTTTCAAATGAAAAAAGTGGTATGTGAGCTTTTTGCCGATGACAATATATTAAATTATTTTTGTCGCATTAAGTCAACGTTTTAATTTTAATTTTTTATTTTTTATATATATATATATATATAAAAAATAAAAAATTAAAATTAAAACGTTGACTTAATGCGACAAAAATAATTTATTGCAGAGCCTTATGTAGAGATTCATGGAGTCGCAACCTAAAATTATTTTTAAGTGTGTTAGGTCGCCTTGAAAAAATATATTTTTTTTTACAAAAAAAAAAAAAAAAAAAAAAAAAAAAAAAAAAAAGGAGGGGAGTAAGTTTTGATACATTTCACAAAATGATTTTTTAAAAAGGTCATTTTATAGTGGCTCCATGTAAGTCTACGTCACTGAGATTGATGAAATTAGTGATTCAATTATGCTAGGTAAGGTGTAGTGATTCAATTATGCTAGGTAAGGTGCTTGACACCCTTGAAGTATTTCGTTAAATATTATGATTACCACGTGCTAAAATAAAATTATCGTGTTTTTATTCTTTAAAATTTCACAAAAAGTCGCAATCATGTTTGAAATATGATTTTTTTAACCAAATGTGATGTGCTTCGGCTTTTTAACGCCTGTTGAGTGAATTCAAAATTAAACAGTTGGATTAATTTTATTAATACCTTTAGATTTGGTCAAATATCAATTTTAAATATTTTTTAAAAGTAAATATCACTCACATCATAACATTTTGCTCAGTTTTTCAATAACACCCCAACCATTAGTTGAACATGACACGATATAAAATAACTTAATCGCCCTTTTAAATTTGTCAAACCAACCCTTGAGCTAAAAAAAAATTAGATTAAAAGACTAAAATACTCCTAAAAATTTATAAATTTACAAATTATATATATACACACACATACGCAGACACATAGATATATATATATATACACATTACACACAGTCATATCTATATGGCGTCTGATCTGTCACTAAATTCCTCTTTCTCTATCTTTGATTCTATATCTCGATCTTTGGTTTTGGTTTTGGGTCTAATCCTCTCTCTAAATCTATTGAATCCGGGAAGCCAAAAGGATTCTCCAACTTTCTTCTCGTTCTCTCATCCCTCATGTTCTTCAATTCTTTGAATCTTCTTCTCTCTCTCTCTCTCTTTGATTTGGCATCACAAACAACTCTAAACAACACATTTACCGAAAAAAAAACCTCTAAACCACCCAAATTCTCTACATGAACTCTCGCACACTCTAAACAACAGAAATCCACTATTTGCTTCAAATCATCAACAATCTTAGTCATGACAAAAAGCTGAAACCGGGTGTATATATATATATATATATTATGAAATCTGGTTTATTTAAAATAAAGATGGAAAAACTGAAGTACATGACAAGGATGAGGCCAAATAAGAAGAACAATCGGAATAAATTCACAGAAGATAATGACTCTGAAGCAGTCCATTATAGAATAATGATTTCTCAAACAATCCCTGATAACTGAAAAAAACAGAAGTTCCTCATTCTCAGAAGTCTTTTTTGTTTCCTCCTCTAAACACAACACCAATTGCAAGGGCGGCTAATATGCAGAGAAGCTTGCCATTGTTTCTACATATATTGATTTACCGGTTACACTTCTTTCATGTTGTACCCAACAAATACCAAAGAGGGAAAAGAAAGCATGTCAAACATCTCAGTTACTGGAAGACATATGAAAAGGTAATCCATTGCATCAGCATCTTTCTTTCAATAATGAACTTGCTGGGAACAATCCGATTGTGCCTAACCAAGTAGTCCATTGTAGACGATTTATCTTTGAGATAGAAAACTAGGGCTTATATGCGAAATTAAAGATAAAAAATCGTAATCGAATAGAGGAAAAATTCATGAACCAAAAGATTTATGAATGGATGGTTAAAGGAATAAAGGAATTTTAATGCTCTGTTTTCTCCTTTGATTTTGTCTATGAGTCCTGTAATCAATGGCCGGTGTGGTGTTAATATTCATTTGGTTCTGTAATCCATGGGAATGGTGATACTTTGATTTGGTTGATGTATTTGTGTTGTTAGTTTTGATGGATTAAAGATACCCAGATCGATTATTTTGTTTGCTTGTTCAGATGAATGAAAAGACCCAGAAACAGAGCTGAGAAAAGAGTCCGGAAAAAGGAATAATTGATGAACAGAACGAGACAGACGGAGCGCTGACGTAACGTGGGTGTAGGGACATAATTGTCATTTAAGCAACATAATATTTTGGAATAAATGAAATTAAAAAATTAGGGGCAAAGTTGTATTTTCCACTTCTTTTAAGGGAGGCTTTAACGGAAAATAAAAAAAATAAAACTTTTCGAAAGATATTTGAAAGTGAAAAATAGCCAAATCTAAGAGGTGGTGAGTGAAATTATTTCTAAACAATTTAATGCCCAACCCCTTTGTTCGATGATAATGTTGAATCTTTTAAAACCAAGAAAATTAGAGTTATGTTTTACCGTTACTAAGTTTTAATGATGGGAAGTTTTTAGAAAAATATTTAATTTTGAAAATTTTGATTAAAAAATAAATTAAAAAAAAAAAATAAACATGGCAGTTTGGAGAAAGCTACAATTAATTTTATAGTGTCCTTTCTTGTCCTGTC